AGCGCAGTAGGTGACTCGTCGTCAGTCTCATAATCACATGATGAGAAAACATGAAAACAATATAACCAGAATGTCTTTGCACTGGAACCCACAGGGGCATAGCAATAAAGATAGGACCCCCCCCCCCCCCCCCCAAAAAAAAAAAAAAAAGATTCAAAAAGGAGTTGGAAAATGAAGTTAAAAAAAATGGGGAGGACATGAGGTGAGCTGCATGCTGTTAGAAAAGGATGAAACGACCTGCCGAAGATTGACTGAGTTTTTTTTTTTTTTTTCCACTGGGGGGATAAAAGGCAAAAGTAAGTAAGTTCTACTTCTTTTTCTTCTTCTACTCTTCTACCATTTACCTCAGCGAGGTGTTGGGGCAGATGGAAGGATCGTTTCCTCGCTTTTGCCAATGCATTGTACAAGATGAAGTAAAGCAAACCAAGTATTGGGACAGCTAGCCCCCCTCTTACAGCATAAGACAATCCCAATCAAGTGGCGCGGTGATTTATGTCACAGGCGTGAGGGGAAGTTAAGACCAACATGACGTGTATAAGGAGATACTCCGTACGTCACTCAGGCGCCAGTCCTTTACTATCCTGGTTGTACGGAACCTCCCGCAAGACCCCTACAGCACGTCCTCGTCGTGCGCCACGGATAATGTCTCAAATGAACATTAACAGAGCTGTCAGGGGATCTCGGAGTTTGGCGGCCCCCAGAGGTGAGGTGTCCTTGTGGCTCTCATCAGCCCGCCCCCAAACGCTTGGGTGAAAAATGTTATCAAAACTCATTAGGAACATGAGTAGGTTTGCCAAACGTACAGCCAAAATTACAACCCTTGGTTAAAAAACTGCGGAGTAAAGAGAACATTGTTCACTGCACATCCTCTGTTAACCCTCAGTGTCGTCGTCACCGCGCTGAGGTACGCCACAACAGCAACCATCCACAGGCTGGCCATCCTTGTACATCCTCGGTTAACCCTCAGTGTCGTCGTCACCGCGCTGAGGTTCGCCACAACAGCAACCATCCATCGGATGGCCAAGCCTAAATGTCCGACAAAACTAGATCATACGGATCAAAATCTGACCATCAAAATTTGTATTGAACTGAAAAAGACCGAATGTCCACACCCAAAGACCCCACTCACCCGAGTGTTGGGACAAAACTGATAACGATATGCCTGATGCAGAATGTAAAATTCTGGTGGGCTAACGGCTCGTCAAAAAAATCTAACGTGCGAAGAAAAAAGAATGTACCTATCTGTGTGGTCACAAAAGTCCAAAACCCACGGGCTGCTCCCCGCTGACTTCCAGAGGGCGCAGCCCCTGTCGAGCGGGAGGCCTGATACGGTTGTGAGGTTAAGCAGGCATGCGCAGGACGTGACGATTCCTTGGGTGAGCCCAGAACCAGAGCGCCATGTGTCGGCTCTGCATGCATGGAAGCCTCCTTGGATGGCGGGGAATGCCCATGATCTGCCCCTGCCTTCCCTTGAAGGCTAACTGTTCCACAGGGGGCTGCCCCAAAGGGGTACCCCGGGGGCAATACCTGTGGCGAAGGAGACAAAGTGGACACCACACAAATCAGGCAACGTCTCGACCCACACAAAACAATGGCCACAGTCACCCTAGAAATAGGCCTGACGTCTTCCTTCGAAGTCGGAGTACAGCTGCCCACGAGGCAGGGAAATGAAAAACGGTTGTACACGCAAAAATCAGGTCCAGGTGAAAGCCAAAAGTCCAAGCGGACGATTAACCGGGACCTTCCACTGGAATTCACAGCCGGTGATCGATTAAAAAAAAAAAAAAAATCCCAATCAGCACAAAGAGACATCTTATTCAAAGCATATTTATTCCAACTCTGTGCTACCAGTGCCAGACATGGTCACTCACAACAAACCATAAAAGAAAATTAGTAACCACGGAAATGAGATGTCTGAGAAGGGCTGTAGGAGTGACCATAAGAGAAAAGATCAGGAATGAGATCATAAGAGAACAAGTCGGCACAGAACCAATTCTGGATTACATACAAAGACAGCAAGTGAAATGGTTTGCCCACTTAGAGGGAATGCTTCGTGACACCATACCATACAAAGCATACATGGAAAGAGAAGAAGGACGTAGAGCACGGGGTAGACCAAGAACAAGATGGAAGGATAACATCTGAGAAACTCTACAACAGCACGATGTGCCTATGGTCGAGGCAGCCATAAGAGCTAGAAACAGAACCTTATATCTCCCTCGACACCCACAGCGGTAAAAGAGGAAGTGAAGAAGAAGAAGAAGAAGTACATTTTTTGGGGACTAAAAATAGTCAGTGGAAAACCTACCTGCGAAAAAGTAGAAGATGGTGGTGCCAGGCCCGTCTGTATATCAATAGAGAAGGCCGTGGTGGTGCCCAGCAGTGATATTATGGAATGTAAAGTAATTTTATCAGTCCTGAAACTAGAAGATGAGATCATTAGAAAAGCTAAAAATTTAACCACCTGAGACTGACAATCGATACTCTTACACATTGTGGGCACAATACCTTGTGCCAAACACACGAACAAGTAAAAGATTTAAAGGCCCAGACATTTTGTTTTGTTTTGTTTTAATTTAACAACACTAGTAGTCAAAACAAACTAAAGGCGCCGACACCTGAGGAGTCAGACCCTTTGAGGCCCAACCCCCAGTCATCTAGGGGGCCATCCCGACACCCGCCACCCCCATCAATAGTTATTAAGAGGACTAAGTTGCCCTCTTTATTCATAGTTATAAATTCTCTTTAAAAGCAACTGTTTATACATATTAAATTAGAGTTTTGCAAATAAGTTTTTACACATATTTGTCATTCAGATTATTGTTATTATCATCATCATCATCTTAAACTGGGATTCTACCCTTCCAGTTACCACTCCAATAACCCCATCCCCGTTTTCTTGGTGTTAACGCCGCTACCACGGACCACACAGAGACGCTACACCCATAGAGGGCTGATGGCAAATAGGGACACACACGACAAGAAGATGGAGTGGCGTCATAAAAGACATCGTATCACATGAACGTATTTAATTTCTAGATGGCAATACATATGCAAGAATACACCCAATTTTCAAATACGTACTTACTTATTCCTATTTTTTTTTTACCACAACTAAGGAGCGGAAGATCGCTACAAGAGAGATGAGATACCTTATGAGAGCTGCTGGTGTGACGAGAAGAGATAAAATCAGGAATGAAGAAATTAGAAGAAGAGTAGGACTAAAACCAGTCATACAATTCATTAAAGATCAACAAATGAGATGGTTTGGCCACCTGACGAGAATGCCCTGGTACGAAATGCCACCAAGAGCAACGCTGAAGAAATATAAGGAACACAGAACAAGGGGAAGACCTCGCCAGATATGGAGAGACATAATCAGGAGTAACCTGAGTAATCCATATAATTGGGATGTTCGATAAGCTTTTTTCCTCATCGCTTGCGTGATTCTTTGTAATCTTCCTTTGCGTCGACTGCGACTTTTTTTTATAGAAATTGTGGTCTAGGCATGGATTGGTCCTTAGAAGCATCCACTCATTTTTATTTTCTGTAAACTGACTGAATTTCTACCCCACCAGGACATCACACAAGCGATAAACACCAGATGACACAATGTGCCACCATGTAAGTGAGGATCACCGTGGAGAGTTCCCAGAAACCGTGTTCAGCCTTTAGGACATATTTATTAGTTAGTTAGTCTTTCCTCTTGTGTCGAGTGCGGCACATAGGGCAGAGGTCGTGACTCTCCATGCACGGCGGTCCGTTGCAGGTCTTGGATGTTTGAGTGGCCCATGAGCGAGCCTTCCCTGATGATAGTTCTACGTAGGGTTTCCCTTGGTCTTCCACGAGATCTTTTCCCCTGTGGTGTCCAAATGAGGGCTTGGTAAGGAAGTCTTGATTTATCCATTCTAAGGACGTGGCCGACATAGTTCCAGCGGCGTTTTCGTATAAAATTAGACACATACTCTTGCCTGGATTCTTGCCTTATTTGTGTATTGGTTCGGAAATCTGACCATTTGAAATTTAGTATTCTTCTAAGGCATTTATTTTCAAAACTGTCTAATTTTGTGTCTAGAGTTTTCGTTGATTTCCAACTCTCGCATCCATAGGTTAGTACTGGAATCACACAAGAATTGAAGATCTTGAGTTTTGTGTGTTTGCTAAGTGTCTTTGATTTCCAGATGTTAGACAGTTTATTGAAGGCCGGGCTATATTGCGGCCCCTGGCAAAAGCCAGAGTAGGGCTTCAAAGAACGAAAAATTTCATCCTTAAAAGGACGAGAAGTTATTATCAATAAACTCTATACCCAGGAAGCAGTAAACTCATTTTCTGTTTCAGCGTTGTCCGTTTTCGCACTGGTTGACGTTTAATAAAAAGTGTCTTTTGTGGTTCTGCTGGGTTTTGGCTCGCCGTCTGTTACGATTGGTTCAACTGCAGTCGCGGCTTCTTTGTGCTGATTTTCTTCTTCTGAAATCTCGAGTTCTATCTTTACATCTATTTCCTCCAGGTGCCTCTCACTTTATAATAAAGTATAAATATTTCATGTCTTAGTGAATGAAGGAAGAAAGAAAGATGTCTGCCCGGTAGTGATCTCCGGGTCAAGGGTCACGAGACAAGGTTACTTCGAAAGGTCGTGACGTATATTCCGTCCCAGTATGCATTGTTATCATGTCCGCCATTAGTTACAGAAGTAGGTGTGGAAGCATAACTGATATCTTGTTTTAACAATTTTTCTGCTTTAGCTTACCCCCACACTCATCAACATGTAAAGAACCATGATTATTTCTTAGAAAATTTCAAGCGGCACATTTATTTGTAGGTGGTGAGATAACTAGCAACAGCGCATGAGATATTTTCGACGAGTGTGGTAGTGGTGGAAGTGCCCACATTCCCACATTTGTGTTTTTATTTTTGCCTCGTTAGTTTTACGTATGGTATTCGTTATATTTATATCATCATTTTGAAAGGAAAGTGTTTGTATCGGATCTTATTCTGTCAGCATGGCTAGTATAAAACAGACAGATATACTGAAAGCCGAGGCGACTGACGCGTTAAAAGGTCAAGGAGTGACTAGTGTTGTAGGCTTGCCCGATTCAAAAATGGAACCGTGTCATAAAATAAATAATGGTGGTAATGTGATGCCAGATGAGAATGACAGAAACTCTGTCGTCAGCTCAAATAAGTCTGCAGACCCTGCTCGAAAGAAGATGTTCAAAATTACCAGCGTTAAGAAAGGCGGTAATGGTGACATAGGAGTGGACAATGATGCGGACAGTATTGACGGATTAGATGAAAGTCAGACGGAAGATTTCAGCTCAGAGATCTATGATTGTTCAAAGGCTACTGACTTGGACATGGATATTCAGGATTATATTAATATGCCTCTCACGCCTGATGAGGTGACCAGTACTACTACAATTATGGTGAAACAGAAACCTGATCACAATTCACAGTCTCGTTTCAAAGTTGTAAAAATAGAAACCAAAGAACCATTCAGACGAGGGAAATGGGTTTGTTATGATTTCTATGACACTGCTCCAGGGACTGTGGTAACGTTAGAGAAAAATGGCTCAAGTATAGCAGAAGACAGTATTATACATTCAGCCCTGTCAGACCACCATAGTTTTGCAGGATCTGTGCACTATGTACATGATGTTAATGATTCTTCCAGTAATATATTTATCCCGCCAGTTGTTCCTCTGAGTCCTGCCAGAGATGATGGTCACCCTATCCACTCAGATGTCTTTGTCCCAATCCAGCCTGCCCCTGCTAGTCAAGTATTAAACCAACTAGATGGATTGACATCAGATGTCATGGCACCATTTATTGCTCAGCAGGTTATGATGTCTGTGGCCGGTGTGCCGTCATCTAGCAGTTCCTTCCACAACCTGGCACAACCAGGACACACAACAATCATTCAGAGTCTGCCTCATACAAATGTGTTTCCTTTTGGCCAGACCGTGCCCCCAGTTGGCATGTTTCAGAATGGTATCCCCTCAGGACAGGTCTCTGAAGCTTTGAATATACCAACAGAAAATATACTTGCTATTGTCGGCACCGGAACTCCAGCCATGTTGGCCACTGCTGCACCTGTAGCAGGTAATAGTAATTTAGCTCACAGTCAGGCTTTTCCAGTCGTGAGTGGTTTGCCGGTCCCACATTCTCTGAGCCAGACACAGCTTGGAGGTGATTCAGTTGTCCCTGTGGGAATTCCGACAACAGCCGAGGCAGGTCTGAGCCCTGCAGCAGGCGTAGTTCATGTTGCTCACAACAGAACCGAAGCAGCTGCTGTTGGTCTTGATGTTGATCAGACAGGTCCAAATATGAGTGAGAGCACAGAAAGTATAAAAACATTGCAAGGGGATGTAGACGCTCATCCTACAGAAAGTTTGAAGGAAGCTGTGGATACTGTGGGAGAAATGTGCATAGGACTAGAAGGAAATGAGGATGATGCAGATGAAAGGTATGTAAGATTTGTGTGGTAGCATTTAATTGGTTGTATACTCTTTAAAAACTGTTTTTACTGCCTGTGTTTACCATATTGTAGGGTGTTGCAGGACAGGAAGGTCTTGCCCTGTTCATGTAGGGCCACATGACTAGTGCAGTTGTCATCACCTGTGCAGGTTGGGAGTTTGTACTCCCTCCCCCCGGACAGAAACAGTTCCTTTACTTTACCGAAAAATTTAATCCAGTCTCCAGTGCCAGAAATCAAGCATGTCTTTAACCACTTAACCAGCCACTCCTTTTAAATACTACTAACATTTATACAACATGACAAATAGCTGTTCAGAATCTTTTTAACTGAATGGAATAAGAACGCATGTATTGTCTTGCCTTGTCAGCTGTATTCAAACCAGGGATGTCTGCTAGCAGACTGTACCGCAGACATATATATATATATAAAAAAAATTAACAGCAAAAACCTGACTAAATTCAAAAAACAAAAAGTGATTGTTTTTCAACCAGTCTCTGTTTCATTTGTTTGTGTATGGGTGATGTAACTGAAACTTATATTGTCATATGTATAATTTTATAGCAACACTGTTCTTTAATATTTGTGTTGGGGATATGTCTACTGCACCTTGCCTAATAGAAATGTCAAAGGTGATTAATGAAGGATTTACTGAAATTGTGTGTGTTGGGCAGAAAGGCACAGATATTGCAGCCTATCTGTAAACCACAACATGACGTGACCAACACCCATTTAAGGGCGAACATTATTTCTTTGTGCATCAGTGCGTTAAAACATTCCTAAATACTATAGCGTTGTTTCCCGGTATGTGTATGTGCAAGCTGTTGGATTTCGCCAGAACTGATTTTTCACAGCGACAGTGAATGAAAAGCATTCTGTGTTGTGTTTTACCAGCACAGAGATGTTATTAGGGTGCCCAGTTTGCTGTAAAGTTGGAGTTGTGGCTGATAACCTGGGTCTTAGGTTCAAATCCACTGTCATGTTGACCCAGCCGAAAATGGGTATCAGGTAAAGTCCTGGGAAGTAATGGCGGCAAGCATGATCAAATCACCCATTAAGTGCCCATTGACTGTAAAACTGAGTCTAGAATCATATGCCTAGTGTGCAAAGGGTCCTTTACTTTGCTTTATTCTCTGTGTGTGTAGATGTGTTAAAGAGTTTGTATGTGAAATTATGTGTCCTTGATTAAGACAGTATTGTGACTTTTTCTTGCACAGGGATGAGATACTGTCAGTATTGTCTAATCTGCAAATTGAACGACCAAGTACACTTCCTTTTCATCTGATTCGCAACAATGTGGACTCACCTTTTGGCTTCTGTTTGACGCCAGTGGGTTCTCTTTGTGCATCCCCGGTACCACTTTCATTTATGGAACACTACGATCCAGCAGTGTCCATGGCAGGCATTTTTCCAGTTCATGTGGGTACTCCAACACTTCCACCATTGGTCCCTCAATCCATGTCCAGTTTAATGGAGCCCATATATAAACCTCTTTCTCTCCAAGAATCTATGACTTTCCCACATTCTGATTCATTTATCGCACCTTCTTACTTTCCTTTACAGCAGCATTTACTGTTTTCATCTCAGTCTGCCTTTGTACAACCTGGAATATCAAAAACCAGTTCTGCACCTACTTCCATGCAGATGGGCACATCTGTTACTTCTGCAGCATCAGACTCTGCATCCTTGAGCTTCCTAACTTCATGGTCCTCTTCCATGTCCATGAGTACATCCCATCAGGCTTCCCTCTCAGATAGAACACACAAGATGTCCAGCCTGTCCCCAGAATTTCCTCCCTTGTCAGTGTATAATTCAGTGCCCCTGGTGTCCCCCCCTTCCTCCGAGCTGGTGGAGAACTGGGATCGTGCTGCTCTTGGCACAGCTGGTGATTCCAGAGAGACACCAAACCCAGCTGGATACAACAGCAACACGCCTGACTCTGTCACTGGTTATACATCTACTTTTGAGAATCAAACAGATGATAAGTATGTTCTTGCTTGCCCTTTGACCCTGTGCCGGTGCTGTGAATTTGCTATAGACACATTTCTCATAACTTGGCACATGCCTTGGCCTTTCCAATAATCCCAGTGCTGTGGTGATAGGTTGAGTGTGAATATACCTCAGTGGTGTTGCTGTTTGCAGTACTCACCTGCCTTGTGTGTCTGTATGGTTGAAACCTATTTCTGTATTCACTTTTCCCTGTCATTGCATTCATTCTGTATATTTTCCAATCAACCGGTGATGGTCAATACCCAGCCTCGCATACTCTCACCTATGTACTTTGCATATCCACTACCAACATGCAGTCATGTATCAAGCCAACCAACACATTGCCATATACTCCCACCTATGTACTTTGCATATCCACTACCAACATGCAGTCATGTATCAAGCCAACCAACACATTGCCATATAATCCCTTTGGGATACACAATCTTACCTGCTTTATGTTCATATTTTACCAGTTTGTTTTCACTGATTCCAATAACTTGCATGAAAACAGTTTTTGGCATTTGCATGAATTCAAGTCAGTCTAAAATTAATACCTCACCTGGGCCAGTATTATTATTTGACAAATGCACCACAGTGTTATTTGTATGCACTTACAGCTTACTCAAGACTCTGTTGCATTTGTGTTCATATATTTTGGGTCCATTTGATGTGCTTCTTAGTGGAGCATCTGATCAAATGGTTAAGGGTGCACGACCATCATGCAGGAGACTCAGCTTCAACTCCTCAGTAAGATTGGAGGCTGAATGTACAGTTCAGCTTATCTACCGAATGTTGTATGTTCTTATACTAAAGAAAAGACTGACCATACATTTATTCTTAGTTTATTTCTAAGATATCATAATAAAACGGGCCATCCCACCTGACATATCGGGTCTAGAATGTCTGAAGGCCTAACACTTCACTTCCCAGTAGCAGTATCTGCTACTTTAAAACGATTATGTGCCATCTGCACTATGAAGGTTGGCTACAGTGTACCACTGTTGTCTAGGAAAATTACCTCGTAAGGCCATAATCTCTTGAACTGCTGTCCAAACAAAACAGTGAAAAGGTTTTAAATAAGTTTATATGAATCTACAAGCACAATTTAATGTAAGTGTATGCAAGCCCTCCCAATGGTACGCAGTTCAAACACCTTTTTTTTCAGGTATCACTTTATTAATTGCTACTGTGATCCACACACTGTGTTGAGTACTAGCATCTTTTTTTTTTTCTAGCAAGCAAAATTTCTTGGTGTATGTTTGCAACTAACTATAATACACGTAACATATGGGTCTCTTACCTGAGTAGACTTTCTGCATTCTTATCCAGGAGATGTATTCGTAGTGAAGACTTATAGCACAGATATACACACTGGGCTTGCTTGCATATCTGCAGATAAGGAATTAGGTTTCATGCTGTTTGTGTGTGGCCAAATCTAGTTACCTGATATGTCTTCCAGATAAACAATAGGTTAGATCCCATGTGAATGTTTTATTATTATTATTTTCTTTTTTTTCCCCGTGGCTTAGGCGTTGGGAGCTCCGACTTGTAATTCCAACGCACCGCGATCGAAACCAACTGCTGGCTGCATGTATTTTTATCAGTGTACGGGGCATCACAGGTCGAGTCTGAAGTGGGTGCCAGGATGAATTTCCTGGGGGAGTAAAGATAGCCGGCATAATGCTGACCAAATTACCCCCCTAGTGCCGATTGGTCTGTAAAAATATGGGTGTTCTTCCTATATGCCCGATGCGCCTAAGGTGTGAAAATGGATCTTTATTTATTAAATTTTTTTTTTTTAATTTCAGTAAAGTCAAAATTTACCTTCTAATTATTATCCTTAAACTTTGTAATTTTACTTACCAATTATTTTCCTGTCATTAAAGTTGGTATCTTAATTGTAAAATGTTGTTTCTTAAGCATGTCTTTAGACTTGATCAAATTCTAAAATATTGCTTCTGATGTGGATGTGTGACCTTTTTACTGTCCAAAGTCTAGAATATTGGGTCTTATGTGTGACCTTAGACCTGACCTAATTCTGAAATATTAATTCTTGTGGGACATGAAACCTCCTTATCATTTGTTCCTGATCATGTTATAAAAATTGTCTTGTCTTGTGTGGGTTCTGTGTCCCCTGGGGGTGTTTAAGAGTTTACTTAAGTCGGATGTGTTGGACCAAAAGATGCAGATGTTGTAGCGTAGCTGTAAACCACAAGACAACTTGCCAGCTGTTCTCATTGAGGTCAACGCAGAAGATGATATTATGTTGTACTTGGCCAGTGGTAATAGCTGTGATCTGTACCTTCATCAGTCATTGTGGGTAGATAGTGCCAGCTGACGTTGACGAGTATACTTCTCCAGATCTTGTGATTTTTGTGAAAGCTGAAAATGTCATTTTGTTTTCAGCGGGACAGGCGCGAAACTCTGGCATTTCTGGGCTCAAAGTTGTAATGATATTACTTTTTGTGTATTGGTGTTGTGGGTGAAGGGACATGTGTCATGTTTTCTGCATGATATGCAGGTAAGCGAGGGATACAAAAAAGTGGATTTTTTGGCTACAAAATCAAAAACTCATGAACCTAGTGTTTTCTTTTTGATTTAAGAAAGATATGCTGATAGAAGACACGAAGTTAGATAAAATAACATGTTTAAGAATGTATGAACGTGGATTGGCAAGACATGAGAAGTAGAGAACAACATGTGAACAGTTAGCATCTACACCTTAAGATATTTGCTGCATGAAGCCTGGGGTTGGCTATTTTCTACTTCTGATAGTTGATTATTGGACAGTATGCACTCACTTTCAGGCACACACACATGTAGGGTTCCCCCCCCCCCCCCCCCTCTTTCTCTCTGAACAGATCACATGAAGAAAATAAATATATGTTAAGAAAGAATGTTTCAGTAGAGAAGTGGTTAAACTGTTGCCTCACACTCTGAAGACCGGCTTTAGTTTCAGGCTCCATCCTTTGGTTTTTGAGTGCAGGATTTGATTGATA